GTCCTCCCGTGGCCTGGTCTCGTAACTCCGTCCTCCCGAACAGCCTGGCCTCGGTGGTCTTCTTCCAACACCAGGTGCCGCCGGTTCCCACCACCACAGTTATTTCTGTACTATGCTTCCTACTTCTACACTTTCCAACCACCAATTATGCAGAACCCCACTCCTGGTACCAAAATTGTGTGGCCTGGTGAAATTAAACCAGCGCAGGACACAACAATGTCTTTTGGGTGTTTTATTCTGACTATAAATAATTGTGGTTTTCTCCAGACAAAATATAAAAGGAACAAAATAATGACTCAAACAACAGTCAACCCTGTCCCTCTCTCGTTCGGTGCGGGACGTTTACAACTGCGCCCTTGCCTTGAAGTACAACAAAAAAAAATGCTCTTCCGTTGAAATAAGGAATACAGAAAATACAGAAATAACTGTGATGGCACACTGTACAAACAAACAAAGAGCACATACATTAGACATCAGAAATGTAACATTTCTCCTGCTAGCCTAAAACATAATAATGAATGCGGAGTTAAAATAAAACCTAACTGTACAGAAAGTCCGTCTGCAGTAATCGATGCACGACACACTCCGCAAATCCCACGGGTCACAGGCTGGGACTAAAATCTGTAAACATCCAACATATGCATCGCTATAAACAAATGAAACTTACAGAATTACGTATATACAACACTCTTAGGCAACTGTCAACTTACATTTGGTTATTACAAACTCGCGGTGTACAAGATTTACCTTCAACAACCGGTACAGATCTTCCGCTGAAATACCGCGTCAGTCAGATGAACACACATGGCTTTTTTTGTTTCCCAGAATCCACTGGATTGATACCCAGCATCCTCTACGTTCCCAGGGTTACTTCTCTAAAAGCGGTAGCACCCCTTTTTCCATATCCAAGTCTAACCGGTGCATTTCCACCCGGCTACACCTGCAAAGCCCTGAATGACAAGGCTCCATCATATCTTAAATACCTCGTAGAGCCTTATCATCCTATCAGAGCACTTCGCTCTCAGAGTGCAGGTTTACTTGTGGTTCCTAGAATCCACAGAAGTAGAATGGGAGGCAGAGCCTTTAGTTATTAAGCTCCTCTCCTATGGAACCAACTCCTAGTCTCAGTTCAGGAGGCGGACACCCTCTCATCTTTTAAGATTAGACTTAAGACTTTCCTTTTTGATAAAACTTATAGTTAGGTCTGGATCAGGTGACCCTGAGCCTTCCCTTGTGTTTGATTCTTTGTGTCTTGTTGCTTTTCTTCTTTTCTCTCTCTTCTTTCCACTCACCTCTGTCTGTCGGTCTGTCGGAGGTTTCTTCCATTAAAGGGAGTTTTTCCTCCCTACTGTTGCCAAGTGCTTGCTCGAGGGGGATTTGTTGGGTTTCCCTCTATAATAATAGTGATAACAGTAAGGTCTAGACCTTACTTGTAAAGTGTCCTGAGATGACTTTTGTTGTGATTTGGTGCTATACAAATAAAATATGATTTGATTCCAACCTGTAAATAGATTTATCATGCTTACGTCTTCTACAAAATCCTTTCCTCTTAGTGAGTAGATGAGTCTGCATGTTTGTTGTGATGACATTTAATATCCCAGACAGCCTCTGTAGTCTCATTTAGCCACTTGTTAGCAACTGCCTTTTTATCATATGGAAAACAATAAAAATAATGAGTGGAGTATATGTTCTAACATATTTTATGTTGTACAATAAAATGTGAAAATACATTGGCCTTGTGTTAACCACAGACCTTATTTCAGTTGTCTAACCAAAAAGTTATAAACCCATTGACTTAGGAGCGAGGGAACCAAAAGTACAAAAATGTTTACTCAGTTCTGGGTTTTAGGACTCACTGCTACAGTATTCTATAGAAACACATCACATTACAATTACGTAAAAATTTGTTCATAATCGTTTGAATATTTTAGAAATGAAATTTGTCTGCGTGTAGCTATGCAGGTTAACTTGAATTTATGACCAAGATGCATATAGTAACTAGCTCAGTTCATTCAATGGGAATCATGGACAGTGCTGTTTGTTGTGTGTACGGAGTGTGGTTGTACATAGGTGCCATGCTTTTCATATTACTAAATCAAAGCAGAGGAGATTGCTAGGTATTTTTAGTCAGATAGATATTGGATAGATACTTTATGTATTAGAAATGTTTAGTGGAGATAGGATGTCTAGTTAGACTGTTAAATGCTTAGGCCTGCTTATGAGTTTCTACTAGGTACTTCTGGTCAAGGATACCAGAGA